TGTGTGTGTGTGTGTGTGTGTGTGTGTGTTTGTGTGTTCATAGTTTCCCTTAAGATACCCACCATACTTCCTTTGTGGATACAAATCACAGGGTTTGGACGAAGTGGACGTCATGAATTAGGTCCGGACCTGAGGCGTACTTGGTTGCAGTCTTTTCTGATTGCTCTCGACCTGCCACCTTCTATTGTGGTGTCCCCATCCTTCTCTGGGGTTTATTCCCTTCCCATGTTGATCCTTCAGCCACATGAGTTTGATGGGTTTGTGCCAATTGCTGTGGATGCAACAGATGAGATACCAGTGGCTCTCTTGCAGAAATTAATGGTAAGTCTGGTTTAGGTATAAACAGTTTTTCAGGATTTTTTCTTTTTATTTGGAGAACTGGCAGTAGTATGGTGTTGTTATGTCTTTTTCCCTACTTGCTGGTATGTATGCACAAATCTAATTTTAGAAAAGAGATGTATTTTGAAAGGAATTGTATATATGATATGATAAACCCTCAGCTTTCTCAAATGTGGAACATGTCAGTGTCTGCCATGTTTTGTCTTATACAGATAAAAGTTTAAAAGATTGTCGTATGTCGAAATTTCCACAATAGCTTTTCAGTTATTACTCATCAGCTGTACCTCTTCTGAATTCATACTTGGTATATTGATTCTTATGATTTTCATTTATAACAAAAGCTAATACCATATGCTATCAAACCCAAAAACTGCTTGGTATATTGATTCTTGTGATCTTCATTTATAACAAAAGCTAATACCATATGCTATCAAACCTAAAACTGGAAACTATGTCCCATCTTGTGTAGTATTTATTGATGTTTCAACCTTGATCTTTTTATATCTAAGGACATGAGCGATATACATTTGTTATGACAATACTATACTAAATTATTCCTCTCTTTAAACAGATTCCAACCCTAATCATATATGGATCTAGGGACCAAAGTCTGGGTGTGGAGTCTCGAAAAAACCTGATCAACATCCCAACATCTCAGGCAGTAGAGCTACCTGATGCAAAGCACCCAGCTTATCTGGATAGGCCCAACCAGTTTCATACTCTGCTCTATAACTTCATTAAGCAAGTCCATGCCCATAAAGTCTAGTTTAGTATTCCTTCAGTATGTTTTGTTGATTTTTTTTCTTCTTTAACTATAATTCCTAACCCTTCAGGATTTTGTGCTACGGATTATTTTATAAAATGCATGTAGATATTTAGATATATCAGAGTATATAAAAAAAACTCATAATATGACAATAAACAACAAAGATTCAGGCCATTGCATTAATCCAGTTTTTTCCATGGTTTTCTTTTTCTTTTTTTTTTTGCAAATTAAAATTGAAACCTAATAAACTAATCATTTGCCTGTTTATATTAAATTATGATTAGCCCAAATAGGTTCAAATAATTGCTTTTATCTAACACAGTGTACATTCACCTAGATAACTTATCATAGAATGCCATATTTAGTAGAAAAAAAGAAGTTGGTAACATGCTTGCACCTTCTTGGAAGTTTATCTAAGAAATAGATTTATATATTTTTGGCTGTGAAAATGTGGATGTATTCATTATCATTATCCCATTATTATAAAAGAGAGAAGGCATTCAGTTTGTTGAAAAAAGAGCACAAGGTGATTGGATATACATGTTGTCTTTGTAATGCTCAGCAACTCGTAGGTTCTGCAACAGATATTTATACTCGTATTAAATTACATTTGTTTTTGAAGGCTAGTGTTGATATATATAGTGTTTAATGTATTGTTTACACTAAAATAGTGAAGCTTGTGGTTTGTGGTGATAAATGATCTTGTTTGCTTGAATACTTTACCATGTAATGAATAGTAACAATCTGTAATAAATGTGTGCTCGCACACACACACACGCACACACACAC